ATTAATTTGCATATCACTAATTTAAAACTTGAATATTCTAGGGTTTAGGAAACAAATGAATCATATAAACATTATGATTGTGGAGATATTTAAACTCCACAAAAAGAAGCTACTTTTACAACCTATTTAGCTGAGCATGGTAGCACATTCCTTTAATCCTAACACCTAGGAGATAGAGGCAGGCAGACTTCTGTAAATTTGAGACCAGCCTGGTCTACATAGAGAGTTGTAGGCCAGCCAGGGAGACAGACAGAGATGGCTCAGAAGTTAAGAGTGCTTGCTCCTCTTGCACAGGAGCTCAGTTCCCAGCACCCACATTGGGCAGCTCACAACCACCTGTAACTTCAGCTCCAGGATAAACTATACCCTCTTCTGCTCTGTGGGCATTTGAATACACGTGTGTGCATGCACATGTGCACACACACACACACACACGAATAAATAAATCTTTTTAAATAGAGAAAGAAATATCTATTTACTACGAATAACAGCTAACATCACTGAGGTCTTATCAAGTTCCTGGAACTCATTTAATGTGCACAGCCAACTGTAAGAGATAGAGAGACAAGTATTAGTGGCCTCATGTTTGAAACGAGGAAAATGAAAACGTAGGGACATTGAAGAACTTAATATCCAATAGCTATTGCATAGAAGAGACAGTGGTTCGAATTCAGATGTGAGGGGATGCTAACACTGATGATTAGGACATTGCTGCTCTGTTTGAGTTTCCAAAAGCCACTCAACTGTATGTGAAAGTAGAGCCTGAAAACTTCCTTTTGCCAGGATGCCCATCACTAATCTAGCCCCAGTCATGTGTAATGACATGGAACATCTTTACAAAATTCCATCATTCTGAGTCTCCCCCTACATAGAGCCACAGGTTGGAATTAAAAATATATATCTGCTGGGTGTGGTGGCACACGCCTTTAATCCCAGCACTTGGGAGGCAGAGGCAGGAGGATCTTTGTGAGTTCGAGGCCAGCCTGATCTACATAGTGAGTTCCAGGACAGCTGGGACTACAAGGAGACCCTGTCTCAAAAAGACAAAAATAAATAAATAAATTTTATTTATTATGGCCAGGTGTGGTGTCATACACCTTTAATCCCAGCACTCAGGAGGCAAAGGAAGGTAGATCTCTGAGAGTTCCAGGCCAGCCTGGTCTAAAAAGCAAGTTCTAGGCCAGCTGGGGCTACAGGAAGACCCTGTCTCAAAAAGACAAAAAAAATGTCATTTTTATTTTATGTACATGAGTGTTATACCTGCATGTGTGTAAGTGCACCTGTGTTGTGCACTGCCCAGGGAGCTCAGAAGAGGGTGTCAGATCCCCTGGAAGTGGAATTATGGAAGACTGTTAGCTGCCATGTGGGTGCTGGGATTCGAACCTGGGTCCTCTACAAGAACAGCCAGTGCTCTTAAATACTGAGCCATCTCCCCAGCCCCTTTAATTGAATTTTTGTGTATTTCATACTCAACATCTTAATCATCTTTATACCCCTTTCCCCATCGACACCATCCCATAGCACCCCCCACACACACTGGATTTCATGCATTCTGCCATTTATGTTAAGGCCTATGGAGTCAAGTTCTGTTGTTTGCGGAATGTCCTTCTGGTGGGTCTAACTTGAGGAAGAAGTCTTTACTACAGTCAGGCAATAACAGGTAGTAGGGTGGGGTGTCCTGCCAGAACACAAGTGAGGTAGCTGTTAGGTACAGTACAAGGTGTGGTTTTTGAGCCTTAGACTCTAGAAGCCAAGGCCAGGGAGCCACTGGAGACAAGAGTCTGGAGTGCATACTGCACTGGACCAGGAAGCAAAATACGTACCTTCTAGTCCTGCCCCTGCCACATACTAGCTGGAGCTTTAGTTAACTCACTCTTTCCCTTGAGGAACTGCTTTTTTCATCAGCAAAATGAAGTAATTAAGCTGGATGTAGTGGCACATACCTTTAACCTCAGCACTCGGGAGGCAGAGGCAGTCAGATCTCTGAGTTGCAGGCCAGCCCGATCTACATAGTGAATTCCAGGTGAGTCAGTGCTACATAGGGAGACCCTATCTCAAAAAAGGAGAAAGCGTTGGAGAGATAACACAATAAGATGTTTGAGATACAAGCATGAAGACCTGAGTTCAGTCTCCAGTACCTATATAAAAAGTTGGACATGGTGGTGCATGCTTGCAATTCCAGTGCTGGGGAGGCAGAGACAGGAAGATCCCTGGGTTTGGTGACCAGGCATCATAACCCAATTGCTGAGCTTCGGGTCCCAGTGAAAGAGCCTGTCTCAAAAAAAAAAAAAAAAACCAAGGTGGATGACTGTTCTAGTTTGTTTCTTCATTGCTGTGACAAAATACCAGTACCAACTTGGGGAGGAAAGGGTTTATTTGGTTGACATCTCCCAGGTCACAGTTCATCAGGGAGCCCAAGGTAGGAACTCAGGGCAGGAACCTGGAGGCAGGAGCTGAAGTACGGGTCATGCATGAAGGAATGCAGGTTACTGGCTAGCTCCCCTGACCCCTGCTCAACCTGCTTTCTTATACAACACATCCCTGCCCAGGGATGGCACCACCCATAGTGGGCTAGGCCCTCCCACATCACTCAGTTATCAAGAAGATGCCCCACAGACATGGTCACAGGCCAATCCAATGGAGACAATTCACCAATTGAGGCTCCCTCTACCGAGGTGTGTTAACAACTAAAGCTATCCAGCACAATGGCTTCTGAGGAACACCACCAGTTGACCTCTGGCCTCCACATGCATTGCACACACACATGTATATGCAGCAGCACACAAAGGAACATATACAAGTACACACCAAAAAATGGAAAAGAAGAAACACAAGGCCAGCAGGGCATTAGTGGCCTAGACATAGGAACAAACAGGTGACCAGAGGCACTAATGACCTGAGGGACTATGATGAAAGGAACACAAAATAAGAGTGCTGGATGGATGAGGACACCAGTCAGAACAACGCCTATGCGTGAGATTTAGAAGTGGACATGAGGATGAGTACGTTAATAGTGACTGAGTGATTGGTTGACAGAATATTTTGTAATAGTAATTAACAAGAATGCCAACTAGATCCTATTTATTGACCCTTACTTGTTCCTAACTCTAGGTTTATGCTCTTCATGCTATAATGATAAACTATGTCTACAGAAAACTGTAAACCCCAACCAGACATTTCAGAATCAAATCAAACTGGGCACAGCATAATGTAAACTCCTTGCTATTTCTGAAAGCCAGCTATGAGGACATAAGTGATGTTGATTTTATAAACAGGTGACACATTGAGGGATGGAGAGATGGCTCAGCAGTTAAGACCACTGGCTGTTCTTGCAGAAGATCTGGGTTTGAACTCCAGAACCCACGTTGCAGTTAACAACTGTCCATAACTCCAGTTCCAGGGGATCTGTAACTCTAGTTCCAGAAGATCCAATGCCCTTAAAAACTTAATTTAAAAAAGAGATGACACATTGAAAAGTATCATCTAATCCTAAAATACTTTTTGGTTGTTGTTTGCTTGGGGGTTTTGTGTTTCTTTGGTTGGTTGATTTTTGTGGTTGTTTTTGTTTTTTGTTTTTTGTTTTTTTGAGACAAGGTCCTACTCTATAGGCCAGGCTGGCCTTGTACTTTCTATGTCCCACATATTGGCCTCAAATCACAACAGCCCTCCTGCCTCAACCTCATAAGTAGTGGGATTATAGGCATGTACTACTATGACTGGCTTTCATTTAGCTTTATTTGCATTTTGGGTTTTTGAGGCAAGGTCTGACGATATAGCTCAGGTTGGCCTGGGACTCATGTTCCTCCTGCCTCAGCCTCCTGGGTGCTGGATTTACAAGTATGTGCCACCAGACTCTTCAAACAAACAAGAGATGAAGCACTTTGATGAGGACAGGGTTTTATCAGGATAGTTCCAAGGTGATCATGAGGGCTACTGAGTAGCTGAAGTTGGGGTGGGCAAGGATTACTGAGTTTGTGGGCCAGAAACTGGGATTGGCATAAACGGTCTTTTAAAAAATATATTTTATTTAAGTTCCAGGACAGCTGGGGCTACAGAGAGACCCTGTCTCAAAAAGACAATATATATACATTATTATTTGGAAAGTTCATACTTGCAAACAGTGCATACTTGTAAACAGTGCACCCATACACCCCTACTCCTTCAACTCTCCTGCTCCCTGCCTCCCCAAGACATGGGCCTCCCAACTTTATGTACTCTTTTTTCCTTTCTTTTTTTCCCATTACCTAAGATGGTGATGAGGCTGGCCTAAATTTTGTGAGCCACCAGGTGTCAGTGTCCAGTTCATGTGGAAGGGTGGCCAGGAGCTCCTTAGATGACAGTAGGACAAGGACTGTAGAGTAATTGAGCCCCTGGTGAGGGCTTTTGTCTTGAGAGTGAAGGAGACAGGGTCTGGGAACAGCAACAGAGGAATGCCACCATCACCCTGCTCCCCACCCTGTAACATCTGTGCTGTAGGAAGATAACCAGCCCCCATGTGGTGGCTTCCCAGGAGAAGGGATAGTTAAGACAAGGAGGCTAGAGGGCACTACAAGAAAGTTAAAGGCATAGGAGCCTATAAGCATGCCCATCTGGCATAGGCTGGGATAAATAGAAGTACAAATCGAGCCTGTCTCAAATGCCTACTTTCGTTAAAGCAAAATATACCATAAGTATTTGAACAGGGAATCATGGTTTTAATGCAAATTAATATTTATTCTAAGCTAGGCCATGGTGGCTCATATCTGTAATCTCAGCATTTAAGAGGCTGAAGGAGGGGGATGCTGAGTTCCCAGCCAATCTGGGCTATATAAGCAAGACCCTGTCTAAAAAAAAAATCATTCTAAGATTGTGGAACAGGATGAACTCTGTAGCCACCGTTTTTTTGCCACCATGTTGGTACACAGAATCCAGAGTCCAGACCTGATAACCTGCCTACTTTGACTAGGACATTTCCTTCTTGGTGCTTAAATCACATCCTCGTGACTTCTATTTCCTGCCAGGCTCAGAGTCCCTATCTTCCCCACCATGGAGGAGTAGATGTCCATTTCTCGGGAGCAGTGGACTGCTTCCGGCAGATAGTCAAGGCCCAAGGGATACTTGGACTCTGGAATGGACTGACAGCTAACCTACTAAAGGTGAGAGGGGTGGCCAGTCTCCTGCTTCCCTGACTCTTTCAATTTTATCCCCTTTGTCACCCCAGTACAATTTGTATGGAAATACCCCATCTAGCACTGATGGTAGCACAAGGTCTATGGATACAAGTTATCTGTCAACCTTGAAGAGGTAGGGACCCTGACAATGGTGGAGAATCTTATACCCCATCCGAGAGGAGCTGAGTCTAGTCTAAAGGTTGCCAACACTAGGGACACGTGAACCCCTAAGGAGAACACAGCCCCCATCCAAAATTTCTCCAGAGATATGTAGGCATATAATGTATGTATGAATCATAATCCTCATAGATATCTATCACCAGAATTAAAGTAAAGAACTCTGGACTAGTCTTACCCTAGCTCACATATAAATATCCAGTCAAGGTTAGCACACAGTGATGGGCAGTGTCAGACTGACTGTATGCCCATGGCATGCCTTTCAGTGGCTCTGACATCCCTCTTCCCCCCCCACACACACACACTATGCCAACCTTCCTTTTCCCATCTTCTCTGTTTCTAAAAAAATTTACCATGTAGTACTGCTCACAGCTATCATCTTAGCTTACCCTAGTGCAACTTGATTGCCAAAGCATTCTTTTCTTCCTAAAAGTTTAGCATAGGGGCTAAAGAGGTAGCTCAGTGGTTAAGAGTACTTGCCGCTCTTGCAGAGGACCCACCCAGCACCCATGCTGGATGGCTCACAACTGCCTGGAATTTCAGCTCTAGAGTATCTGAGGCTTTCTTCTAGCCTTCACAGGCATCTGCATACACATGGCATACACTCACACAGACACACACATACATGGAAATAAAAATAAATCTTAAGAAAGGAATTTAACACAACTTTCGTTTTCTGTTTTAACAGGTAGTTCCATATTTTGGAGTTATGTTTAGCATGTTTGAGTTCTGCAAGAGAATTTGTCTTTACCAAAATGGTTACATCCTGTCTCCACTGACCTATAAACTGACCCCAGGGGTAGACCAGAGTTTGAAGCCCCAGGAATTACGGGAGTTAGAGTTCTTCAAAACTAGAAAACTAAATTCTAAAAAACCAACTCTGTAAAACTGAATGGAACTAGAATGACTGAAGACAAGCAGCAATCACAGGTGAATGCAGCCTCTCAATTGTGCACAGGAAGAGTATTGCACCGGTACTCCTGCCTCCTGCTCTGGAAATGAGATCACCAGGCCATACATCACCTCAAAACCCCAACTTGTCCCTGTTTACACCCATGCCATGAAAACCTTTTCCAGTTCTGCTCTATCACAATGGCATCCCACCAGATTTTATAAGCAAAGCCTAACAGTAATAAAATGTACAATCCACCCTCTGAAGAGAAACATACCCCCCAAAAAGCATACTTCCACAACACTTAAAAATATCATGTAGTTGATGAGGCACAGCAGAGACCATGCCATGGAGCTCAGCCACAGGATCACTCAGTCTCTACAGAGTAGGCCATGTTCCACTCACTTTGACCTGCGGTCTCCCCACACAGACTTTTTAAACTCATAGCCGATGCTGACTTCTGAGAGCACAAACCACAGCATAGGTTTAGCCTTATCAAAAACCAAATGAAAAGCAGAGTGTGTTGGTGCATGCCTTTAATCCCAGCACTCGGGAGGCAAAGCCAGGCAAACTTTGTGAGATTGAGACCAGCCTAGTCTATATTGTGAGTTCCAGGCCAGCTGGGGCTGCAGGGAGATGCTGTCTCAAATAATAAAAAAAGAAAGAAAAAGAAAACTTTTTTTCCCAAATTATCTTGCTATGAAGCCCAGGCTGCCCTCAAAGTCATGATCTTCCTGCCTCTGATTCCTGATAGCTTGGATTACAAATGTTTAGCACCATGTCCATCCCTAGAACCATCATTCTTTATTAAAGTATCCGACTCTTAGAAGCTTGTGTTGCAAGAAGGCAGTTTTCACTATGATTTCTTAGCTGTATACTGAAATTCCTGACTGAAGTCATGTATAACTCAAGTGGCCTTAATTCTTGGCCTTTTTAACTTACTTTGCAAGCCTACCTTGAAAAAAAATTATTTAATCATCTTACATTCTCATTAGTAGTTCTAATTGCCCAGAAAGGATCAAATGGAACATTTGATACACACTCCCCCAAAATATCATGAAATAAAAATATTTTAGGCTAACTGGGGCTGGGAAGATGGCTCACTGGTTACAAGAACTGGGCATTATTGCAGAGGATTCAATTCCCAACACCCACATGGCGGCTAACAACTGTCCATAACTCCAAGGGAATCCGACACCCTCTTCTGACCTCCACCAGCATTGCATGACAGGGGTGCACTTACATGCAAGCAATACACTGATACACATAAAAAATTAAAAAAAAAATACTTTAGGCTAATCATCTGTAGTAAAATTGGGGGGGGATCTTTTTGAGACAGGGTTTCCCTGTAGCCCGAGCTGGCCTGGATTCACTATGGAGACCAGGCTGGCCTCAAACTCACAGAGATCCACCTGCCTCTGCCTCCCAAGTGCTGGGATTAAAGGTGTGCACCACCATGCCGGCCCCTTGTAATAATTTTTTTTTAAAGAATCAAATTTTAGGATTGTTGCATCTTGGGAATTCCATGTAGATTTTATATAATCATACCTTTCAAATAGTGCCAATCCATGCATTTTAAAATGCATTAGTATCTACTAATACAGGTATGGTGGTGCATGCCTATAATTCCAGCTCTTGGGAGGCTAAGGCAGGAAGATCATGAATTCAAGGCCAGCCTAGGCTACATAAAGAAGTTCAAGTACTGCTTTTACACACAAGACCCTATCTCAGAACACAATAATAAATAAGTGTATTAATATCTCGCATTATTAACTCATGCATATTCTCTCTTCCTTCTGTCATACATATGAACATTTTCAGAATGTTAAAAGTATTTTTTCGAATTAAACTTATTTACCAAAGAAAAAAAATGTGTTATTACTAGTCATAGAGTCCATGTTTAGCAGTCTTTATTTCATTTGAAGCAAAAACAAAAACTTCAAAAGTGCTGAATACAAGCCTGGGGCTTTAGCTCAGTGATAGGGTACTTGCTTATCATGTGTGAGGTCCTGGGTTCAATCCCCAGTACAGGCAAAAAAAAAAGGACTAAATGCTATATATGTTTGTTTTGTTCTGTTTTAAGATAGTCTTACTATGTAGCACTGCCTGGCCTGGAACTTACTGTGTAGACTAGGCTGGCCTGGAACTCGAAAAGATCTGCCTGCCTCTGCCTCCTGAGCACTGGGATTAAAGGCATGTACCACCATACCCAACCCACAAAAATATTTTTTGACAAAATCTAAAACCCTAACCTGAGGTCTTATGCACCACAGTATTTCTTCTATGCATTCTTCCATGTGTAAAAATTAGATAGCTACTAGACAGAGATTTTTCTGAGCTGCAGACTTTTTTTAAAAAAAGATTAATTTTATTTTTTATTATGTATATGTGTATGGGGGAATATATGCACATGAGTGCAGGTGCCTTTGAAGGCCAGAGGTGTCAGATCCCCTGGAGCTGGAGTTACAGATGATTGTGACCAGCCCAGCATAGGTGCTGGGAACGAAACTCAGGTTATCTGCAAGAGCAGTGCATACTCTTAATCACTGAGCCATCTCTCTAGCCCCTCCGGGCTGCAGTTTTTATTTTTATTTTTTGGCCAGTAAAATAAAGAATATGACTCATTTTTCTGTAGTTTCAGAACAACTCATTAGAAGTCTAGTTCTGAGCCTGGAGTAATGGTGCACACCTTTAATCCTAGCACTTGGGAGGCAGAGGCAGGCAGATCTCTGTGAGTCCGAGGCCAGCCTGGTCTACATAGTGAGTTCCAGGTCAGCTGGGGCTACAGGGAGACCTTGTCTCAAAAAAACAAAAAAAAGTCTAGTTCTGGGGGCTAGAGAGATGGATTGGTGATTAAGAGCATTCACTGCTCTTTCAGAAGACCCAGATTCAATTCCCAGCACCCACATGGCAGCTCACAACCACCTGTATGTAACTCCAGTTGTAGGTGCTCTGCATCTTCTTCTGGTCTCCATAGGCACCAGGCACATACATCGTGCACATACAGAAGTGCAGGCAAAACATTCATATAAAAATTAAGAAAATTCTATGGGCTGGAAAGACAAGTCAGTGGTTAAGAGCACTGGCTGCTGTTGCAGAAAACCTGGGTTCAAATCCCTGCACCTACATGGTGGCTAACAACCCATCTACCCATCTGTAACTACAGTTCCAGGGAATCCAACACCGTCTTCTGACTCCCTTGGACACTGCACAACACGGCACACTTACATACATGCAGGCAATACACTCATATATGTAAAATAAAAATACTAAATATTTTTTTAAAAATTAACTTAGAGCTATTTTTATTCCTTGGAGTTGTGAGGGAGTGTTCTGCCATCCTAATTTATGGTTACCAGTGTGCACCACATACAACTAAGTACTTCGGAAGAATTATAAAGAAATGTGATGTGGTATTTACCCAGGAGTAACTTAAGAAATAAAACATGCCTATATCCATGAAATGACTAGGATTACAAAGCAAACACAAGCAAAGCATGACAGTGTAATGCCCAATCTGTGATTATTAAATTCAGTGGCACGAAAGACAAATATGATTATTGCCCTAATGGAGCTCACATTCTAGTGAGGCTAGAAGTCCATAAACAAGCAAACTCATCAAGTTAGGTAATTTTACACTTGTAATGTTGGAAGGAGAATAAACAGAATGCTTTCTTAAAGGATTATGTGGAGAAAAGGAAAACTATTTCAATCAGGGAACTAGAGAAGGCCACTCTGAGAAGTGATATTTGAGATGAGACCTAAAAGATGAGAATGTGCCAACCGTGGAAAGAAGTAGGAAGAACATTCTCAGCAGTGGGAAGAACAGGGAAAGTCTGGATATAGGAAACAGCTTAGTGAACTGAAAGGAGGGGAGTGTAGCCAGAGTGATCACTGAGAGGAAGAGTGGTATGAGAAGAGGCTGAAGAGAGAGGCAGATCCATTTAATTTGGGTTTCGTTTTTATTCCTGCAGTGCTGGGGATAGAACTCAGGGCCTTGCACATGTTAGGCAAGCCATCTATCACTGAGCTACATCCTTGGCATCTAAATGCTGATCTCATATGATCACATAGGCCACATTAATAACTTCAAATTTTATTCTAAGTACAATGAGAAGTATTGAAGTTTTTGAAAAGAAAACCAATTTTCAATATCAAGATACAAGCCTGCTGTCATGTAGAGAAGAGAGTGGAGGAAAGTATTGCTGGGAATGAGAAGACCAAGTAAGCACTGACTTCAGAATTCCAGCAAGAACCGAGAGTTTAAGCTAGAATGGTGGCAATACAAAATGAGTTCAAGACATATATTGGAGTTAGATTCAGCAAGATTTGCTAAACAGCTGAATGCAGAAATAAAGTGGAGGAGTGGAGGGTGGCACCTAAGTTTCTGACTTTTAATTTAACAAGTCAGATGATGTTGCCACTTGCTGATGTGGGAACAATAGGGGAGGGCTAGATTTTTGGTGGAGAAGGAAATCAAAGTCCTACTGGGGACATGTTAAATTCAAAATGCCCAGAAGAGCCAGGCATGGTGAGAGGCAGAGGCAGGTGAATTTTTGTAAGATTAAGGCCAGCCTGGTATAAGTTCCAGGCCACCTGGGGCTACAGAGAGACCCTGTTCTAGCTTGTTTCTCCATGGCTGTGACAAAACACTCTGGCCACTACCAACTTGGGGAGGAAAGGGTTTATTTGACTTACATCTCCCAGGTCACAGTTCATCAGGGAGCCCAAGGTAGGAACTCAGGGCAGGAACCTGGAGGCAGGAGCTAGAGCACAGGCCATGGAGGAACGCTGCTTACTGGCTTGCTCCCCTGACCCCTGCTCAGCCTGCTTTCTTATGCAACACAGGCCCACCTGCCCAGGGGGGCACCACCCACAGTGGGCTGGGCCCTCCTACATCACTCATCAAGAAGATGCCCCTCAGACATGGCCACAGGCCAGTCCTATGGAGGCAATTCCCCAACTGAAGCTCCCTCAACTCAGGTGTGTCAAGTTGACACTAGCTATCCAGCACAGACCCTATCTCAAAGAACCAAAATGCGTAGAAGATAGCCACATAAAGAAATCAAGTAGACAGTTGGCTAGCACCTAAACTGTCCCTGTAGTTGCCCAATTTATAGCAAAGCCCCCCAAGCATGAGCACACCCTAGTCCCCAGAATCTTTGAATATATTCCTTTGCACATGAAAGAAAACTTGCTCTTGTTTTGAATCAGGTCTTGCTATGTAGCCCAGGGCAATTCTCCTGCCCCATCCTCTCAAATACTGTGGCTACAGGCATATACCACCATGCCCAGTGACAAACAGCATCATTGAGATGGAAAGTTCATTCTGCCTTATCTGACTAGACCCAATCTAGTCACAGGAGTCCTTAATAATTGGAGAGATAGGCACAGAGAGTGGGAAATAGGTTAGAAATGCAAGGACAGAAGAAAAGTCATGACAAGGATTCAATTAATCATTGCTAGCTCTTAACCCAAAGGTACCCAGGAGCCAAAGAATGGGATGAGCTCAAAAATCTGAGGATGACCCTCAGCTGACAGCCAACAAGGAAACAAGGGGAAGTGACAAGAAATGACACTGAGGAGGTGGCAGCTAAAGAAAGACCTGAAGATGTGGAGGA